AAAAAAAAACAGAAAAATTCTCATTGCCAGGTCAGATTATTGCTGAAAATGGGCATATAAATTTTAATTTAAAAATGCCATAAAAAAAAAACAGAAATATTCTCATTGCCAGGTCAGATTATTGCTGAAAATGGGCATATAAATTTTAATTTAAAAATACCATATAGGATTTTAAAAAAGGGGAAGATGGCTAGCAGCCTTTGAATGATGTAATGATTAAAGTTACTTTTAAGTTAAGCAAAACATCCTAAAGTTTTAATGAGGGCAAATCAAAAACTGATGCAGTACATACCAGATATTTTAATATAAAATTAAAATATTATTATTATTATTATTATTATTATTATTATTATTATTATTATTATTAAAATAACGTTATGGACATATTTAATAGAGATTATGTCAGACATCTAAGAAACAAGTCCACTTTAACTCAAGGCACATACAGACGACGCCTTTTCTGTGTACTATTCAATACATACCTTGGAATAACAGTTAATATCAGCCCCTCCTTCGATGAGGTAAGTCAACTCTCTGACATCTTTGGCTTCTATAGCTCTCAAAATCTGGGGTTCCTCGGCGTCTCCTTGCGTCCCCTTCTCCACATCGGTTTGTGACGTCATGGGTAACCCAGATCGTGGACCCTGTGATAAAATATCATATCATATAAGAAAAGGTCTTTGGATATTGTTAGATATCAAGCAAAGATGGTGTAAGTGTCACCATTGGCGAACTATCTGTCACCAACTTAAAATGGAGACGACGAAGCTTATAGTCACGGTTATCATTTAATGATAGGACGTATGAAGTTCAGAAATAGATGGAAGGTTTGAGTTGTATGATAAAGGGACTTTAAAAAGCATTTGAATGAATAAAAAGTTTTAATGAAACATTGGTTGTTGGATACTAGCTGAATTAATCTTCTTAAAACTCTATAACTTTACATATATTTTTAGGTATATCTAATATCAAATCTGACCCTTTTGTTTTAGAGTATTTTATACTGGATTTTCGTGCAAGATCTTATTTTCCTCGAAAAAAAGTATTTTCTCCTACTTACCAACGAAACATTGCTCGACCCGGCCCAGCAAGAATGTCTAATATAATTTTTGATTTAAAAAACTTAGTTTAAACGAATTATGATTCATTTAGACTGTCTTGTCTTCCTGACATTTCAGAGGGAATTAGGAAAAGTAAGAAGCTCAGTAGGATAATTAGACCCAAAAATATGACATTAGGACGTTTTCATATGTGTTACGTAAATCCTTAAAGACAAGACAACATCTTTTAATGTTCATGAAGAAATAATTTCAGACATCCTAATTGTAACTACTGCTTTATAAGCATATTCAATCACAGTTGTTGTTTTTATTTTAAAGTAATCATATTGTTGTCTTTTCAAACGCATTGTACCGTATTGTCATTGTATGTTATTTCCAAAATAAATAAATAAATAAATAAAAACATTCTTCGAGACTGGACTTGACAGACTCACTCTTGACTCCACTTAACTGTACAGTAAATGTACAAAGCTTCAGTATGACTCCTAGACCATGCGCTAATATCCACTCAAAACTCAAGGCCAAATACACTCCAACTGCTAGGCATAATAAATTCCTCACTTTCCAACTCTCTATAAAAAACCTTCAAATCCCCTTCAGTAGATTGGAGCTACAGATACCAAAATAGAGAAAACAATACAAATACACTCACCTGCCCTTGCACCATGAATTCTTATCTGAAAAATCAAGTTATTCTTCCTACAAGTGCTGGGTTATATTCGATTTGTTGTACTTGATATTTATAGAAATATTTACACCAATTGTATGGAAAATGCACAGTTTCTAGCACACACGGTTTCTGGCATCGAAAATCGATAAGCAAAAGCACAGCCTATAGAAATGTATTAAGGCACACGTTGGATAACACGAGTCCGATAATTGGAAATCGATATAGAAATCCAAGTCAACAAAGCGTAAATATATGCACATAGTCTCAACACGTGTGGTAACTAAGAAGCCAGCGTAACTTGACATGTAGTTGCCCGCCAATGTCCCCTTCTCCCCCACAGGAAATTCTGGTTTTTAGGAATTTTGTCAGATATATTAAAATGGGAGAAATAATAAGTTAAAATCTGGCGATGATATGCGTGAAGAGGAAGAGGAGTTCCAAAATGGAGAAGTAGCTTTTCACGCAGAAGAAAACGATTTGCTCATTGCGTTTGGTGAGACAAAACTTTCACAATTTTCGCAATCACAATTACCTCATGGAGAACAGGGGCTGATTATTCGTAAGAACGTTAACTAGACTACTACTGGTTCAAATTTGATTTGAACTCGAGATCAAACAGAATTAAAACCAACACTGCACATGCTTCGCATATAAACCATTTCACCATACGAATTTTCAAATTTGTGAGCGACTTACTTCTCAGGCGAGGTGACGTCTCTCTGAGAGGCAAGCTTACTAACACAGTTAATACTGTATTTAAAAAAGATCATTTTAGGCCTAAAACGATTGAATACATTTTCATTTCGCACAAAAGATTTGAGCGAAGTCTGTCTCATTTCGCTACGTATATTACAATACATATATTTCGATACGCGAAAACGCTCTCCTTCTTTGTTTGCCTTCGGGGGGTATGGTGGGGTATGGGGTGAGGGGGGCGAGAGGTTTTGTCGGCGTACATACCCCCATATTCTGCTACATTATTTTCCGGTGTTTACAGGCATGCATCCGACAAGATCAGCAGTTCAAGGTGTCATATCGACAACAGGTGTTATATTTCCCTGGTTTTGTCTCACATTGCAGGGAACCCGTGGTAACATAAACTGTATGCACGTATATGTCAGGTGCTCTTTGTAAATGCACACTTGTTTAAGGCATCATGACGATGTGTACCCCCTCCCCTCCTATGAAAGCAACAGGTTATATTCTGGAGTTGCAGGAAGATTTCCTCAGTGTGTTATATCATAAGAATATAGAAAATATGACTAATATGTCACAGGTACAGCTACTACCCAGTTATTGTATTATTGCAAATTACAAAGTATTTACATGAACACATGAACATTTATTATTACAATCTATGCAGAACATTCCAAACATATTTGTTGATGTGGCATATTCTGCCTGTACATTGTACACTGTTATATGTACAGTGGCTTGTGTTGTTGTACACGTTATGCTATAATGATAATAATAATAATAATGATAGTAATAATAATTTATTCAAATGACCTAGAACTAAGGATACATATGCCTGATCAAAATTTAAGCCAAAAAAAGGAGTGCAGTCTTATCAGGCATCACACTGTATCTGTCACATCTCCTGATGATTGACCTTCACCTCGGCAGTTGTCCTCCCAGGTCTTCCAGTCACTTTGACATAGACACGAGCCTAAAATGAAGACTGTGTGTATCGTTCTCGTAGCTGTGGCGTATTTAGGGGTAAGTGTTGAGCCTAGCTACTGTAGTACAGTGAAGGCAGTTAATGATGTTAGAATTTGTGAATATTACACAGTACCGAAACTTGTAGGCCATGTTTTCAACACTAGATAATTACGGTTAACTTGTGATCATTTTTAATAATTATAATAATAATAATAATTGATAAATAAAACAAGTAAGCTCGGCGTTGTTGGGGAAAATGTATCAGATATAGTATCAAACGTCATTACTGACTTGGTATGTTTTGATCACAAGCAGCTGCTCTCCGTTAAGTGTAGATAACAATACACTGTAATAAATAAATAAATGAAAATAAGATTAATAAATGAAAAAAAAAAAAAAAACAGGAAAAATTTAGTGAGAAGGTCTATCCAAATTATCAAGAAAAGTCTTCAAATAAAACTGATGAAATTAATACCTGTCCTTTATTTTCATTACAGGCAACCGTCTCCGCCTGCTCCTCAAACAGCGAGTGTGACGATAACGAATGCTGTGTGTTAAGTTTATTCTCTGTGTTTGGTCGAGACGGGGACTGCCACGCCAAACTGAAGGAGGGAGCCGACTGCCATGTCGGGGTCTTCGATCCTCTCTTCGGTTTACGGGAGAAGGAGTGCGGGTGTGAGGCGGGGCTGAGGTGTTTGCAAATAACGAGCGGGGGCTTCTTCAGCAGCGGGGAACACAGGTGCGTCAGGCCGAGCACCGTCGCGCCATCTACAGGCATCCCGTCCCCTATACCGGGCCCAAGTACCCCACCAACTGCATAAACTGCGTTAGAGTTTGCCAAAGTTGAAAGAGATACGGCTGTATGGGATTCACATGTATCATGAAATATAGCAGTGACTTTTAAAAATTTTAAATGCCGGTTGAGGAGATATTAAACTGCTTGGTAACAATTTTAATAATTTTTTCTTTAAATAAATGCTTCTCTGGCGCTGGATAACTCCAACCAGGATGACCAGCGTCTTTTTAAAGATTTGAACTTTCACAGCAATAAAACATTTCACAACATGAGAATTTTAGTATTTTTTTTTCTTATTTCCATTTTGAATCAATTCCGTAAACCACGTGTGATCAGTATTCCCAGTTTGAAGCTTTATTTTTTATCATTAATTATTATAATTCAACACTTTCTGCAATCAGCTAGATGGATTGTTAAAAACTTATCGCACATTGTCGCGTGCGTGTGCGATTTGGTGACCCCTACTTTTGTATTTTCACTCCCAAACATCTGTTAAACGAGATGACCTGCAGTTGTAAAATAAGTAATTTATATATTCGACCTACTGTACATCATAACCACCACTGTACTGGTATCTACTGGTAATACGTGTTGTTTTTAGTCAATTAATCCAAAAACCACGAAGTAAGATAAATACACCCATCAGCTGGACATGTTCTCAACCGAATACCGCTCCATTGAAGATCTACGATAAACTTAGGGTGGGTTCGGACACTGAGTTAGACACGAACCGACAGAGATCCAACTGACGTCATCAGATAATCAATAACAACATTTGTTTTCAAGATGTCACCCGTATTTTACAGAGTTCGATGCCAATACAATAGATCCTGGAGTTACGATACATTGCTAGGATTTAAAGACTACAGTGAATGGTTAAATTGTTGTGTGACTTAAGAGCATCATTCGGTCAGTCTTTCACCCCGCTCAGCGCCGTTTCAAACAGTCCAGAGGTGGACAGTTTGATCGTGAAGATGTGTAATGTGTAGACGTTTGTATGCGCTAGAGAAGCCTTTCTAACGTTTCACTTAGACCTCACATCCGCCTGCAAATCAATATAGGCCACACTTTTTTATTTTTATGGATGACATCCTCTGGGGACCCCAAAATCGGCGCGAGCGGGCGAAAAAAAAAAAAAAAAAAAACAGTCAAAAAAAAAAAAAAACGTTTAAGAAAAGTTATGTTTTCAGTACACAGCTGGAAACACTAATTTACCACAGAAATACGTATCAAACGTACAACATGTCTTTATCCATGCTCTCAAAATATTAAAGCATTGTGAATAGGGCCTACTTCGTAGAAAGGTAAAAAGTCATGAATATAGGCCTATATGTGCTGCATATTACAAAATCTATTTAAGGTTATTTCATGCATTCTGTTGGTATAGCAATCAATAAAACAAATATCAAATAAACAGCGTGTCTTTATTTGTACTCTCAGAAAATTTAAGCATTGTGAACACTTCACAAAATTGTTAAAAAATGAAGCAAAGATAGGCCTATGCTTCCTACTACCAAATCTAAAAAAGGTAATTTCGGTCGATGCCATTTTGTCTACTTCGACTCACACGTAGCAGCCAACTATCGGGTGGCCTGTCTGACCTTCAGTCCACCAAATACATGTACCACGACGCTCTTGTCGACCCTTTTTTCGCTTAAAAAAAAACCTGGTAAGCCTATGTGCTGCTTTGGACAGAATGTCACTGAAATTTTCCGGGCGATGATCGCTGGCCGCGGCCAGCCTTTCGTATAATTGTAAAAATGTGATATCTCCATGTCCAATATCAATGGCAAACCAATCCAAAACGACGGCCCCCGTTCTCTTTATGACTTTAATTGTCGTGTATTTTGAAATTAATGCTAGAGATGAATTTGACGGCAAAGCGGCCATATTTCCACGTGGTGATAATACGCATGCGCAGAAAGCTCATTTTCCGCACTCGGAACTACTCGGATGTCTCCGCAGTCGACAATGACAGCATGGAGCTTGCGGAATTAGCCGAGGATTGCCGATTGCATTTTCCGGCAAATTCAATAACGACGTTTGCGACAACCGACTTTTTTTTGGGGGGGGGAGGGGGGATTTTTTTTTTTTTTTTTTTTGAGAACGGACGAAAATCGGTGCGCGCGCAGGATGTCATCCATAAAATTAAAAAAGTGTGGCCATAATAATAATAATAATAATAATAATAATAATAATAATAATAATAATGATGATGGTGATAATGATTTTGACAGCCTTTACAACCTAAAAGACTTTGTGTTATAAGTAAAAAAGTTTTAAGTATCAAAACGCCGCCTTCGTGGGGGTCTAACATGAGGTCATTGTCGTGACGTAATAGGGTACATGTCTGAGATCAAATATAGGATTTGAAATGAGACAATTATGGATTCGTGATCCACGTTGACTTCGAGTTCGAATGGAGCTCTGTAAAATATATTTGGCAGAATATGGACTAGTTGTAAAACTGAGTCTAATCCATTTAGAAATTTCTCTTATTAACCAAATTCTCCAACTTTGTAATGGAACGTCGCTCAAATTAACGAAAATTATCAATGAAATGAAGGAAATCGGCGATAAAGACACAGATTTCCACAGTATAAAAATTATTCAACATTTACCATTTTGCGGGAGTTCTCATCCCCTGTGTAGGTGGTTGAAATTATGACCTTAAATACACGTACATCCTTCTTTTAGGACAGCCCGCTCACGCAGGACTATCTAGACACGTACAGTGCACGAGTACACTGTCACCTGATAACGTGCTACGGCAGATATATTTTCTAGCAGATCATCGGGCTTTAACTTCATTCATCTCTCATCTGTTCTTGCTGTTGCGTCTACTGCCACCAAGATGAAGTACCTAACCGTCCTTGCTGCAGTCGTTCTATTGGCCGCTTGTATTCAGGTACATGTACAATCTTTGTATCATTATACCATTTTGAATCATATTTCTAAATTATCTGACGATTCGTTGCCATTGATTTACAGCTTTTTCTTCTATAATTTCTTTACATTTATTATCTGAATTGTTCAGCGCTAGTACGTCTAACACTGTAACCCCAGCTTTCTAAGAATGTACTGTTGTTTTGTTAGTTGGTATCTAATTAAGCGACTAAAGTCAGCTTACTTATTTAGCCAATTCAGTCTCTGACCAGCATACTAACTGCCTGAAAAGTAACTAACTGAATGGCAGACAGGGCTGCTGGTAAAATGAACTATTGACTGAATACATTACAAATTAGCAATTTTCATTATTTTAGTAGCACTTCTTACACAAATTCTACAACATTTGAGATAATAATAATAATAATAATAATAATAATAATTCTCTCTTCAGGCGGAACTCTCTCCCTGTGTGGACGACAGCGAATGTGAGATAAACGAGTGCTGTACAAAGGCATGGTTTCAAGTGTTATCCCGCGGGGGCAGGTGCCACCCTAAGGTCAAGCTTGGGAGCCGTTGCCAGAAGTCGTGGACAGATTCTTTGTTTGGAATTCATGATCGCTCTTGTGGTTGTGAGGTTGGAACCGAGTGTAAGTATCGGTGTCACGTTTTTCCCTTTTTCCAAGCAGAAGCTAATTAGAATTCCATGAGCACGTTTTGACACATGTGGAACATGAAAGATGTTTCGTACATTTTAAAAACGAATTTCTGTCATACCACTGTATGTGTTGATGGTTAAAGAATTCCCAATCCAACAACAGCAACAGATATTCAGTTTTGATATAGGTCATTTATGAAAGAAAAAATAATTTCGCTCATAACTATGGACGTGAAAACTTTTTACTTGGTTAAATATGTCTTTTTGTTCCCCCAAATTCAGGTCTTCCCGTGAGTAGGAGTACTCAGTGTGTTCTTATTCCAACTTCTCCCGTAATAGCCAAATCGACCCCCAAGCCAACCCCTGACACCGGAAGCGGCGACCTTCAGTAATCTACGTCATCAGATACTGTGACGCAGGGTCACGTGACACATGGACACGTCATCATAACAATGATATGAAATCAGTCGATTCTTGTTTTAGACTTTCAAGTTTACAATAAGTAGGTCTAAACCTAATGAATTAAAGTGTAATGACCATCGAGTGATTTTAGGTGTTAATTTGATTTGGTGAATGACGCTCGAAAAGAGAGTTTTGTTTGCAGCGATTTGAATGAATTATTGGCAGGAGCGGATCCAGAGATATTTTCTGACGGTACTCCAAATTGTCTTTGTTGATCCGTCCTCCATTTTGATGGTCTTCCAACAGAAAAAATAGATACCTGTCAATGTAAACTTTAAAATCTTCAAAAAGACCCCTGATTGGGGTGTAGTTTGGCATGAAGGAAAACTTTCCGATGTGGAGTGTTCTGCGACATTATATCGACAGCTTAACCTTAAAGTTAAATCAGCGTCACGTGAAATTAATTAAACATCTTAGTACGATGACAGTGACTAACCAAATCGATGAACTGAATTTCAAAACTTAAGTTAAAAATATTCCAACTATTTTGTTCCCCTTCTATTGTAAACACATGCATGCATGTAGGCGATACGTCTCGTGCGTACGCGTGCATATAGGTGATGCTGCAACAGATACTAAATATGAATAATGCCTAGTAAATGTCATAACACGGACTAAATATCTTCACGTTAAAATCACCTGCAGGATTCACATGAAGAAATCCGTCTTTCTTCACACGGTATTCCATAATAATACGCTTTAATACCATCTAAGTCGCAGCTTTGTGGCATTAACATATAGGCCTACTGTATAGGAGTCGGCACTAGGTAGAATACAAAACACCGAAACAATGATGAAGACGTGTATTTTAGCTGCTCTCTGTATTGTGGCTGTATACGGACAGGTTAGTTTGACAATATTTTTTAATATTGGTTTAGATAGTTTGGCTGACAAAATTGGAAAAGCTGCCAATAAAAATTCCTTGTATGAAAAAAAAAATACAATGTTAGTTTCCTAATCTAGTCTTGAGGCCCGATTTACAAATCTCTCAAGTTTTTTTTAAAACTTAACAGCAATAAAATCCAGTAGCCAATTTTACAAAAGACTGTCCCGACGTTAACCTTGATTTTTAGAGCAGATGTGGGCCAGCTTCTTCACGTTCAAATTTTTCATACGTGACATCTTGTCGTAAGCGTTCTTATGTGATGATACAAAAATAAGCACATGGACACAAATCCGACCTGTAGCCCTGGGTTTATGTACCCCCACCCTAGTTTTGAATTTTCAGAAATTTTCTGCATTTTCAACACTGTCTTACAGAAATACTGAGCTGGAGCACATTTGTTGCTTTTGCACATTAAACAACAACCTTTCAAATTACAGCTTAAACCTGGGAAAGACTGCACGAGCGACAAAGAATGCGATAAAAACGAATGCTGCGCCAAAGCTTGGTTTAACTTCTTCTCCCGTATGGGTAACTGCTACCCAAAACTACCCCAGGGGGCGGCGTGTGACAAGTCCTTCAGAGAGACGCTCTTTGGCATACACGACAAATCGTGCGGTTGCGTATCTGGCCTGTCTTGCAGAGGTGTGCCCCAAGCGGATAAACCTGGAGCTTTCAATGTAGAGTTCAAGTGCGTGCCGGTAGGGGGCAGGCCCAAACCCACGACGGTACCCGAGGGAAGTGGCGATCAACAGTAATCACTGCTGCACCATCCAGGAGGGGATTTTTGTAATACATTAATGGTCATATTTGAAAAAAAAATGTTTGTGCATGAGTATTTTAGGATGTATTTGTAATGTACGTCCCTAAATAAACAAGTCAAACAAAATGTGTTTTTTTTGCTCTGTTAAACTCGAATAAATCGATCATGACCTCTCGTCTCCATCAATAATTTCAATTTGTATTTAATCATCCCTAATCACACCTAACTTTCTTTTTTATACATCAAAACCAGTTTTACTATTCCCATTGTGTTCCCGGTTCTAAACATTCTACAAAGTGGCACCAAAGGGCTGAAACTAATACTCCATCAAATAGACTACCACCACGGCCATTTCATACAAGTGACACGTAACGTCATTGTCACGTAAAACGTGTAAATAAGGGATCATTTGTGTACAATGTCTGCGTTATTTAGATATGTTCTTAACGACCAGGCCTCGTCAACAGGGATCATAACCAATCACAAACACTAGTACGTGGGTGCTAATTGCGTATAATGTGGGAAGCAAACTATGATAAATGCGACTAAAGTGCAGCAGCAGGTTGTGTCGTTCTGCCGTTCCCTGCAGCTAAAAAGCCGAATTTTTCATATTTACTAATACTGTTTCAAGTTGTTAGGAACGAGCAAAGGAAAGACAGTGTCTAACTACGGTAAGTTGTGAACGGTCGTTTTGTAGCCTATTTTTTAAAGTTATTTGAAAGGATCAGTGATTGATGCGGTTTCTTAGGAATTGTTAAAATTTACTGTTTTAACCGCTTTCAGTGAAATTGAATCCAAGATGTTTTAGCTTTTTAAACTTAATAAAATACCGGTAAGTGACAGACATGTAATAGGCATAGATGTTGGTTTCTGTAAAATAACGAGGCAAGGTCTCTCCTTCTCTTCTTCTCTCTCTCTCTCTCTCTTTAGTCAGGCGTTTTTTCTATCCTTCCGGCTTATTTTTAACGAGAGTTAAAGTCTAACCCACGTTGGTGAAAATCATGATGTAATTAACTATTTTACTTGAACCAAATAGCTCCCCTGGATTGAAGTTTTGAAATCAAGTTAAAAACTGCAAAAAAACGCAAAAATAACTAACTACAGTAATTAAATAAACAAAAATAAATAAATGAAAAATTTTTATTAATGCTGTAAATCCAGCCACTTTGTTTAATTAGACAACCGTTCTATGGTGTATTCTGACATTGTACATCACCATATTCTTATATGCTGTCCGATGTTACTGCTCCGAGGTTTTATTGCATTTTTTTCTTTTTAGAGACAGAGAAGAAAATTAATTGAATGTATTTATTAAGCTAAAATATTCCTGCCTCTAAGCTCACAACTATATCATTTCGGACAGGTTTCTGTTAAGATGTATTATAATCATATTTTTCAAGATCACGTGCACATCCTAACCATATGAAATGTAGATCCACACATGACTCGTCCACGGTTCTGAAAATAAATAAATAAATGAATAAAAGAGAGAGAGAGAGAGAGATCAGTTTACTTAAAAGATATTCACAGCGGTAACTGATTTCCGAACTTTTTGACATGTTTTCTAAAAATCCCTTGAAAGGCCTCAGTGATGGGCGTGTATTTCAGTATTTCAGTTTAGCACAGCCGTCTATTTCAATCAAGATAAATTCACGCAAAGTTGCAAAAACACAATTAAAACATAGTTTTTATATGCAATGCTAAAACACGGAAGTGCAGAAAAATCAAATAAGGCATACTATGCGAGAGTGACTTACACTGGAAAACACAATGAATTACGTGTCCTAATTACTATTGCTACTCCTTGTTCGCCAACGGAGTGAATTGATCAAAATAACAATCGGCATCGTAACTAATCTATTGAGGTACGACTAAAACAAAGACACGCTTTCAGTAGACAACCCATGGGTGATACTCTATATAAGACCTCGGATTCCGTAGGGTAATGAGACATATAATATGATATCGAACACGATTAACTGTCCGAGGTTAATATTGACTTGATCGATTGATTTCTTGTCACGCTCGGCAGTGCATTTAACAGCAATAAAGTGTCTCATTCATGTAAATCAATTCCGTTAAAGTGAAAACCAATCAAAAGCAACCCAGTACTGACCACTGGAGACTAAAAATCTCGGCGGGAGGGGCGTGTTTGTATGGACAGAGCCTGGGGTCAAGAGAGAGAGGCGGAGTCTTTGATCTTCGTGATAAGCAGCTCGATATTTTTGCTGAAAATATAAAAACATTGACATTTAATGGCCTTGCACTCATGTGTCTCGTATTCGAAATGACCTGAAGCCAATTAATGCTGGTGATTAATTGAAATAGAGACTCAGGCGTGGAGAGTAATTGCAATTCGTTATTAATTCGAAAGGGACGGATATCAACTTATTTCTTAAAATTAGGGACTCATTAACTTTAAATGCTTTGTTTCTAAATGACGGTTAGAACAAGGGCAAACTAATTTAAGAAGAAACGCGTCACACAATATCGGTAAGATTTTTATAAAGCACGTGGTGCAGGCATTATCTTAATTAATTTTAAAGGCTGATCGGACCAGGGAATTATATCGATATAATTCCCTGATCGGACTAACATACAGGTGCAAGCGGTAAATGAAATTATGCAAACTAAAAGTATAAAGCGGAACGGCATATTATAATTTCCATTGTTTGTTTATTTGTTTTATAGAATTATGTTTACCCCTCTGCATAAAGAGTACAGAATGACTTTCTGTTATACTTTAGAGATCAGTCCCATGCCGAATGGACACAATGAATAGCAGTCTGTATGCCAAACGGTGGTTTATGAAAAAATGAACAGTGCAAATACATTCAACAAAAACGCTAGCCTCTCCAATGGCACACAAATTAGTATTTAGGGTCCAATGCTGCAGCTTAAAGGCTACGAAGATTGTGGCGCTAATAACTGACTGGTGACAAATTTACTGCTGGAAAGAAAATCCTCGAAAATTAGATTAAGAAAGCCATTTGATTTAGCGACGGATTTGCGTTATCGACGTGTTTATTCTCACGCGTAGCAACAGCGTTCATGGACCAGTTGTTAAAGACGTTTGTGTCGGGACGCAAGCACTAAGTATTGTAGTAATACTCTTTTTTTTCAAGTAAAAGTTGACCTTTAAAACGTCAGTTGTCAGATTTAGCTATACGCCGTAGACGACATACTCGAAGAGATCTCTCTGGTGAATGTCACTTTTCAAAAATAACTGACTGAAGTATTTTGTTGAACGTCTACATGGTGTATTTTTTCTCCATTTCAGCTAGGGTGGTTTTAGGAAGCACACAGCCACGAGAGCGTTGACCCGAGACATGATGCACGTGCTCGGCAGAGTTTTTTCGCGCTTTGCAGTCATCAGATTGAAGACAATAGTGTAAAGTATGTGGTTGATGTTAACGGAACTCACAGAATGTGC